AACTTTAATATGATTTCTCGTTAATATCACTATCAACATGATTTAAAACCAATTCAAATAGATTGATATTAATGAGGGTAACCTGTATTATTTATCTCACGTTTGTATGTTCATCTGTTTTTTTAATTAATTTACTTTTATTATTATTATTATTATAATTAATTTATTTTTATTATTATTATTATAATTAATTTACTTTTATTATTAATATTATTATAATTATTATTATCAAGTACGAAATTAAAGTATTAATAGAAGGTGGTAAGCTATTTAACCTAAAGTCTGATCTGACTAAACAATGAGCTAACCAATCACAGGACATAAAGCAAAAGCTGATTCTGGTTATTACAAAAAAATTACCAGGATATCATCACCATTCTGGCGCGATTGAAAAAATTTTAAAACAACATCATAAGACGCAATATAGAACAGCAACAATAAATGCTAATCTAAAATTAAAGGCCTACAATTATGCCAAAATAGGGAAAAATAGTAAGGTAAATGAGGTAAACATAATAAAATTTGTCATGTAAATTATTTTTTAAATCAATTCTAAAGTTACTTAACTAACAAATTATTTATCCAATATATCGGTAATCTCTTACTAATATATTGGGTAAATGATTTGTTACTTAGCCCACAAATCATTTATCTAATATATTGGTAATCTCTTACTGATTTATCAGATAAATAATTTGTAAGTGAAATATAATAATTTAAATTACTGTATTATAGAAGAGGAAAAAGAGATAAAAAGCATTAATGTATTTAATAAAAGCAAGAAATAAAAGCATTAGAAGATATTCATAGGAAGACTTAGAAATCTTAACAAAAAGCAAAGAAGAGAATGCCTATCATTCTGATGAAGAGTAGAAGACGGATAAGAATCAGTTGAAGGATGATAAAAAGGTTAAAAAGTTAGTTTGTATTAACAAATAGTGGTGAAGCTTTAATGTAAGTAAATATTTTACTAGTGCTGAAAAAATAATGTTGATCAATTTTTAAAATATTATTTATATATATAATTTTAATTATTTACTATATAAAAAATCGTATTATGAGATAAAATTAGCCAGCATTATTTATAATGCTGGTTAATTTAATCTATCTTTTTTATTAAACTATACTGGTATGAATATCATATTAACAGAATATTGTCTTACTTATTTAGTTAAAACGGCTATTCTATAAGCGTATTAATCTATTTGTAAAATAACTGCAGCCAAAGAACAATAGAATATATAAATGGCATTATGAAAAGCAGGTTGATATGACTGGAATGCCACTACCTGATTGCTCAAGTTAGGCATTATCAAAAGAAGCTTTAAATCTATTTAATATTTCGGATCCAGAATTTGACACAGACTTTTCTACTGAAGATGAAGATCTATATAAGAAAAAAAAAGCAAAAAAAAGTGGTAGTGTGGGTGCAGAAAAAAGTAGTAAAGGAAGTAAAAGAAAAGAAAAAGACAATGATGATAGAAAAGAAAGAGACGATGATAGTAGAATTATATTATACAAAAGAAAAAAGCAGAATAGTAATACTTTACCACTTCTAACATAAGCGAACTTGCTGCCACATAGTTTAATTTTACCACAGTAACAACATCATTAGCACAAATCACAACAATACTAACTACAACAGCAATAACAGAAGCAGCAACAACAACAGCAGTAGCAACACCAACAGCAACAATGACAGCAGTAGCAATAACAACAGCAGCAGCAACAATGATAGCAGCAACAACAAAACAAACTAAAACAGCAGCAACATCATCAAAAACAGGAGCAAAATCACCTTCAAAAGATACAAA